AAGTAATAATGTATATGGAAAAAATTGTTGACTCCCATTTTATATTAAGAGGAACTATTTGAATATATTTATTATAAAGCATTTCTGTTTTCTTTCGATACCAGTTTCAATATCAAATATTTCACTTTTATAATATAATTAAATTTTCTTCTGATACCGTTTTTAACTTTAACACTTTCAGCTTGGTATATTAGTAATACAAGGAAGGTATCGAGTTGCCAATACACGAAACTGAAAGTGTTAATGTTAAAATTGGTATCGAAAGAAAATTGAAACTGGTGTCGAAAGAAACTACAAATTAGTATAATACAGGGTTTGTCCGAAAAGTAATGTCAGTGAGTCGTTTAAAAAAAGTATACACATCAGATCAGTACAACACATTAAAAGGTTTCAAAATAGGCTCCTCCTGCGTCAATACGTCGCTTCCTGTGAGATTTGTAGGCATTGAAGGCGGCACGATAGGCCTCATCCGAAATGTCTTGTAGAACCATGGTGCAAGCCGCTTTGACGTTGTCAACTGTTCCGAAATGACGTCCTTTCATCGAAGTTTTCAAGCGCAGAAACAAAAAAAGTCTGCGGGAGCGCGTCTGGACTGTAGAGCAGCTGGGGAACCTTTGGCACCTTTCAATCAGCCAGGAAACGGGTCACGAGGAAGGCGGTGTGGACTGACGCGTTGTCGTGGTGAAGTCTCCAATCGTCCGCGATGTCGGGCCAGACGCGATGAATCCTTCGTTTGAGTCTCTTGAGCACTTCCACCACGCCAAATTCTACGTGAAATCCTGAATACGTGAATCTCGGCGCTCTGACGAATTCGTGGCCGAGGGAATATTAACGAATTTTGGTCTGCCCACCAGGGCGACAGCGTGCGAGAAATGGGACCGAGCTAGGGCCACGCTTTTTCCATGGGATGTGTCGCTAGGGTTCCGGTCGCGGGCAGAATTGTGATCGAATCGGGAGCGGCCGCCACCCAATGCGGAGGAAGAGGAGGTCAGATAACACCGGTCCCGCTGCCCTGAACATCAACGTCGGTTTCCGGGGCTCGAGCGGTAGCGGGCATGGAAGAGAACCTGATACCTGGGCCGTCGCACAGACAGGGGGGCTCGGTTCGTGTCAAGAAGACACTTCACCCCAAGAAGGATGAGGTCGCGGGAGTCGTGCAGGTAGACGCAAATGTAACCCATTACTACTCCCGAGGAGGGGTTGCGTCCGCGAAGGCGCCGAACGATGTGCACTGCGGAAGCCACGATCCACAATCCGGAGGACTATTTCGTGGATTCGGAGAGCAAGCCGAACCCACTCGCGACTCCAGTTGCAGAGATTCGTGGCTCGCGAGGGTGCAGCCACACTGAGCCCACTGGAACGGGGGTCTTTTCCAGTGTGGGAGGCGCGAATGAAAGCGCTGCAGGAACAGGCCCAGCACCTGCAGGGCCTGGGTGGGCCTGCATGACGGGAGCGACTCCAACTGTCCCGAGTAAGGAACTAGATCAGGGCTCGGGTCGGGAGGGACGCGAATGGGGCCTGGGCATACAGCCAGCATATCACGCAGGGAGGACGATGCGGACCGAGCGGGCCACGATATCGACACTATAGGTGGAATTGATGCACGAGAACCAGGAGTGGGATGGTTCCACCATCCCTGGGACGGTAACGGGTAGTCACCGGGGAGAGGAAAGCGCGCATACGGAGGGGACCGCCGCCGAAACGGCCACCGTGTATGACACGGCCTTAAGGGGTCAGGGCACGCAATTCGACCCTCCGGACCCGACCTTGAATCGAGTAGCCCGGACATTAAGCAGTGGAGCCTCACTCTTTTGAACGAAAAGGGGGTGAGCGTGGAAGCTTTCCTCATTCGCATGCAGGAGTGCAGGTCTACGTCGGGATATACCAATGCACCGGTACTGCGAAATGTTCCATGGACGGTATCGGGCGACGCACATTTTTGGTATCGCGAGCAAGGCCGCCTCTGTAGAGATTCGGCGGCGTGCTGTAGAGAATCTCGCCCGGAATCCCTCACTTCAACCGGAAGGTGAGGTAAGAAATTTTCAAGGTAAGTCGAACCCGTGTCCCGGTATATTACATGGGTTCAGGCTCTGTTCCGTTAATTAGATGATCCGATTACCCTGGACCAACATTTAGATCTGTTGTACGGGAACATGCTTCCAAAGCAGCGCCGCGTGATAGACCGTGAAACAATCCGATCATTCAAGCAGTTAGTCGCGAAGGAAAAGGAGGAGGAATGGTTCAATAAGCAGGAGCTTCCGTCACCTCCTCCTGTAAAAGAGACCCCAATTTTAGAGCTCGCTTACCCCAAGGCCGAGCGGTTGCGCCTGAAGATGGCGGCGCGATCGGCTATGTTCTTTACGAGGCCGGAGGTCCCAAACTGGCGATGCGCGTTGGACGCTTAAGCGACTCAGATGCGCGACGCCTTGAGGAAGTTTCGGAGTACGGAGATCGCAGGAGAAGGGGCGGTTTGCGTGATGCGACCGCAATCGCCTCACGTAAAACAGTCCCCACGCGTCCGGAAGGGGAGAAATCGCAGCGCGAAGAGACCGAGCGGCGGACCACGCACGGTGAAGAAGAGGAAGGGGCGGATAGCTGAAGGGGCAGTCAGCGGCCGTTACGTGCTGGAAATGTAGCCAAAAGGGCCGCCGGGACCTCCGGTGGTTGCACAGGCTATACAATCCCACCGGCCGGCTTGCTCGTTGGGCACTCAAGCTTCTGGTGCACGACCTCGAGGTAGTGCACCAGAAGGGTGCGATGCATCAGATGTCTGACTCGTTCTACCGGACGTCCGAGGAAGGGGAAGTTGATCCGGTTTCTGCCGTTGCGCCGGTAAAGGACGAATGGCACTTGCGTCGAGTTAAGGATGTACTACGGTTTGCTTACAAACTTCAGAATTGGAAAATCACCTATGGACGGTTACCCCGCTATCGTTCGAACCCTGTGGTGGAGCCGGTCTTGGACGGGTAGATGCTGGTGCTCCTTTATGTCCGTGTCCTCCGGGAGACACACGATGCGCCGCAGGCAGGGCGTGGGGGAATCGAAAATTCTTAACAGAAAGTTGTCCGGGAATGTTATTGGCCCGGTCTATATTGGGATGTGGTGCAATACGTCATTAAGTGCGCCGCTTGCCAACATCCTAAGTTAAAACAGTTGCTCGACACCGGACTGACGAGACGCAGAGTGATGGACTAACCCTGGAAGGTAATCACTGTCGACATTATGGGACCGCTATCGCAAAGCGAGCGAGGGCACACGTACGTTTTGATATCTGAGGATCTCTGGTCCAGGTGGATAAAATGTTTCTTGGTTCGTACAGCGAATGCGAAAACGATCGTACATGCGCTCGAAGAAGTTGTAGTGTGCCGTTGGAGGTCTCTAGACGTGTTGCTCGCCGATAACGGCACGGAGTTTGTGAACTGAGTAGTAACTAATTGTAAGTTTACTAAGGTCCACCAACTAATAAAATTCGGGAGGCTCGGCTTCGACACGGGGGCCCGGCGGCTCGGCGTAGCCGTGACCGCCAGGGAGCAGCCGAGTCGCCGCAAAGAGTCGCGCCGCCGAAGCCGAGCGCGTCCATGCCTGGGGTATAAGGCTAGGCCGATCGGAAGGATCGGCACTAGTCCCCTACTGAGATTTCTAGCGACCAAACATCCCAAACCAGCGAATATCAGTGAGAAGCATCGAAGACGTCGAAGTAAATAAAGGAAAACTCTGACTCGGAATTTGTTTTTTACTTTCCTCAGGCTCCCTTCCTTGTCTCCTTTCTGCTTTTCCGAATATTTCAGCCAAGGGCGCAACTCGCTCCCACGGTACGGGTTTCTCCCTTGCGAACTCCTTGGTCCACTCTCTCCTCTGTCTTCTGCGGAGAGTAGGTACTCCGACGATGCGGAAGAACCAAGGGACGAAGGGAATCCGAAGGCAGCGAGAACACCACCACCAGTCGATCCTCATCAACCTCGTCGATTCGCGATTTGCCATCGCCGCCGGTGTAGTCACTAACGGTGACCCCTGCCCCCTTTCCGGACACTCCGTTGACGTCAGAGGAACAGGATGCACAAAGCGACCCGTCCCGCCTCCCCAGACGCGACATCGCCGCGACACGTCCCACTAGCCGTCGCGTCTGGCAGTCGTGGTAGCGCCTCATCGACGCCGAGACGTTCTAAGGCAACGTTGGCCTCTCACCTTGCTCCGCACCCCATTCTCCAATTGCATGGACCTCCCTCACGTTCTGACCGTGTCAATATGACAAACAGTCTTAACACTTAGCCAACCGATCGGGGAGATCTCCTACTTTGACCTTACTGCTACTACCAAAATGTTACTTCCGAAAAATGCGCTGTGGACAGCGCAATTTGGCTTCCCCTAGCGCGGTTGAAACCGTACAGTTCGTTGTGGCGCGCGTTGTCGGCTAAGTGTTAATAAAACGACAATATTTCATTAAAAACATAAAGCTTGTGGAATCTCCGCTAAACGCGTTTCTGCATAGAAAACATTTGCTGAGTGCAGGTTCACATTATATACTCTGCATTACGTTACTAGATTCAAAAAGCATTGAAATCATACCACAAAGTCAAGTCTCTAGTTGCCCGTTATTTTAATTTCTATGTTTACAGATATTGATAACTTCACCGCTTGTTTCTGTTATTACTACTCCTTTACATTTACGTATGATGGATTGTCATTTAATAATAAAACGTTGAGTGATTTCTTATTGTATACTACTAGTCGAAAAGCAACAACCTCATTACAGGTCACAGTTTTTGTTGAAAAGTCCGAGGTCCTTTCTAATGAAGGAAACTTCGCACAGACAGGTCATTTAAAATAAGAATATTTTATAAAAGGCGCAGAAGGTCTTCGGGAAATAAAGCGACGAGGCCAGGACGCTTCCTGGAGAATGTACTTCGGATATAGGTATTACCTATTGAATATTTTAAATGTGTCGACAATGAAATGAATAGAGAAATTATTTCACCGATAGTTGCTCTTTGAGTACTTACTCTATCCATTCGACCTGTGTTTCGTTGGGCTCCTGTTGCTTCACGCATTTATTTCTAAGCTCCCCCATGTAAACTTGTAAGGCAAACAGCGCGAAAACCATCAGGCAGAAAATGGTCAACGTCATTACTTCAGCAAGTTGCTTAAAGCTATGCAATAACGCGTTGATGATGGTCTTCAAGCCTGCAACAGACGTTACAGGGATTATGGGATTATCGGATCTTCGTTACTACATTTCATGAGAACAGAGCTATTGCTATCAGCAGAAATGTATTTCAAACGCGATTACTGGAACAGCTTGAATATTTTTGGCCACGTAGTTGGGCCTTTCAAAATGTGTTGTTTATGAAGCCCTTATTTTCATAAGTGTCATGTATTATTTTTGCCAAGTAGGTGCACAATGGTAGTTCTGGATGGATCGGTGTGTGCGCAGAGTACACGGACACCAGTATATTTATAGCCATACCATTCTGGAAACAGAATTTAAAATAAAAAATGGTGGGTCCAATATGGCGGATACAAATGTAAAAATAATTGGATTTTTATAAAAATGGGTTTCTCATGGTTTTTGTGCTCGCTGCATTCAAGTTCCATGTTAGAATTTCAAAATTCACATTGGCGGATAAATTATGGTACCATTAAAAATGTTGAGGGTATTAATATAAGAAAATATATTTATATATACTGCGGATACAAAATATACATATTCATAGTGACTTCTTGTCAAATATGTATGTTTATAGTCATTATATTTTGATATTATAGGAATGCATCAGATATATTTGCCGATTTTGTTATTAATAATAGAGAGATTATCATTTTGTTTTTCAAAAAGGAGTGAAATCTCCTCAAAACACATTCAGAGTACACAAATGTAGTCAAATACATTTCTCTTTACTCAATTAATTGCAAAATTAGCTGAAATTGCTTCCTGCCTATGAAAAGCTCAAATTTTTGCCAAATATAGTAGAACATTCGGTTCATAAAAATTCCAGCTACAATTTTTTTGCCAAATGGCACAGTACATTTGATTTTACGTATGTTGTATATACAACATTTTCTACTCCCTCTAACCGAAGACAAATATTAAAAACTACATCGAAACAAATATAAAAATTGGAAACTAAATTTGAAAACAATATTTTATTTGGCGAGTACGAAAATGATCATATGCTATGAATATACCTCGGGTGCTCGCTAATAAAATATTGCTTTCAAATTTAGTTTCTAGTTTTTTTATTTGATTCTATATAGTTTCTCATATTTGCCTCTGGTTCGAGGAAGTAAAAAATCCTGTACATGCAACATACGTGAAACCGAATGTTTTGTAATATTTGGCAAAATCATGTTGGCTGGGATGTTAATGGAATGAAGTTCTACTATATTTGACAAGAATAGTTGATCTGAGCTTTTCTTGGGACCGGAGCAATTTGGGCTATTTTTCCAATTTTGAGTAGAAGTAAATGGGTTTGGCTAAATTTGTGTACACTGAAGATGTGTTTTAAGGGGATTTAACACTGAGCTGAAATGTGTCTATGAATTGATTAAGTTTATATTATACGCTGTTGGACACAGGGCTGCATTTATCGACCGGAGGAAGCAAAAAGGATCACTATTTTTAATGTATGCAAGTGCTTTCTTGCGTTGAATATCTTCAGGCAGTTCGATGAAGGCCGACAAGCCGCTGTGTATACGAATATATCTCTTGATGTTCACCGTCAAATTTATAATTTGTAACGATGACCAGCCTGATTCCTTTTCATTGAAGTCTTCGATCTTGGTCAGCAATTTACACGTTACATTTACGTCAAACCAATCGTCGACGTCCGTGGATGGTAGAATAACTATTCTGTGAGACGTCATTTTTAAGGATTGGCTGAGCACCCATTAGAGGGGGTCCAATCAAGGGCCTAGTCTCGACGGGACCTCCCTTCACCCTCTTTGTGAGACAACCCCCGCCTTATGGGGATGGCCGGGATGAAGGCAGTTAAGGGGGTATTATCGTCTAGAAGCTTTTTTTTTAAGTAATTTTTAGAAATGAAGAGAATGAACATGAAGAACGGATCATACAGAATTACAGTCCATTAAGAATTACAGTCCTCACATGTCTAACTTCAACCACATTGCTCACCCTGGTTTTGGTTGCACACACATTTCTCTCACTTACTGTCCGATGTTCGGGTTGTGAACCGTTTGACTCCCAGGGGGTATTGAAAAAACCCAGTCGAAGAATCCCGAACAGCGCAATCGCGCTTTCTCTAAATGAGTACGAGAAGACCCAAGCAGCGCGATAGCGCTTCTTTTATTTTATGTCGATAAAACCCAAGCGGCGCGATAGCGCTTCGTTTATTTTATGTCGATGAATCCTAATCAGCGCGACAGCGTTTCTTGAATTGTAAGATGTATTATTTACATTAAAAGAAGGAGATGTACTTGGGTGAGTAAATCTGAGCGCGCGACTTCGACAATCGGTGACGCACCGCTAGTTGTCCACAACGCTCGAAATGTGTTGGGTTTTCTCGGCATAAAATCTGAACAGCGCGATCGCGCTGCTTGGGACTCAAACGGTGAAACATGCAATGAACGCGAAATCGGATATTGAAGGCGAAGGATCACAAGCAGCACTTTCAGTCCCCCGGTCGTCACCGAGAGCCTGTCACAAGTCCGGAGATTAGGGTACGCCCGTTGACAAGCGAGGTTAGGGCTCCCAGTGTGGGCACACGGATGCCCGGTGCTGGTGTATGACCGGTAAGGAGGAACCGGGTGCAGTGCGCGCGGGATTTGGTGGCGCACATAGGGGAAATTGCACCACAACGGTGGCCAAAATTATTTTTTGGATTAAAATCGATTGGAACTATGTTATTCGATGTGTTATGACAATCATGGCGTAAATGCACGATCAATTAAATAACATGCATTGTCTATATTTGTGTAGGTATGGGTTTAATGTTATCGGTTAATAAAAAAATGTGTTAAATTATTCCGTTGATGGCGTCCACTTTTCTTAATCTGATGATTCTTTAGCATTATGTGTAGTAATTTCTTCATGGGAAGAATCTTTCTGAGATGTATTTGTTTTTGGTTCTACGATCTATTGTTTCTTTAAAACATGGATTTGACTCCTTTGAAACAGGTCACATTCCTGTTATCAACGTATCAGAACTGAGCAACTATTAATTACATAAAAAATTGTACGATACTCTGCTAACTTTTCTAGCATAATCTAAGCGATATAATCGGAAATGTTTGTTGAGGGAGAGAAGCGGAAACCTTCATTGATTAAGGTATGGGCCAAGTGGCCTTGGTTTTGGATTTGTTAGGGATTCATTTAGGAAGTAGACGGTCCCTATTAATTAGGGTCCCGTCATTTCTGGACATACTTTTTTGAAAATCAGTAGCAACGAGGAGGACATGATTGTGTGTCGTATAATACGCTATTTAGGCCGGAAACTCGCGACCCCGAGCATTTTGTGAAGTGTAGGTATAGACTCCGATAATTTAGTGACATCCGGTGACGGCCTTTGCCCAATTCTAATAAAATTGTAATAAAAAATCGGAGATAGAAATTGTGACAAAGATTACGTCGCGACATGTGTCACCCACATTTGAATGCTGCAATGTCAATACGAGGAACTTCAGCATCTTATAAAGAGAAATACCGGCTCTGTAGAGAAACTCCTCTACAACATGTATGGTACTGTATTTCCTAGAAACAATAAAATAAGCTAATATTAAACGGATACCTGTGTTAGATAATTTTAAATCAATTAAGTTGTGTATACTTCCCGAAAACTAGAAGTAGCGGAGAAAAAGGAATTTTAGTAATATCAATGAAAAGCAAAAATGTAATCAGCTTGAAACGAAGTTGTAGCTTTAACATTCTGAATACTATACATTATAAAAGTAGTTCATAATTCGGGCATAGCAGACAGAACAGAGATATGTCCGACGGGGACGTGGCATTACTGGGTCAATAGCACATCGGGACGCGCATGAAGCCGGAGGTACATGCATGTTACTTTTCGATCGTAACGCGGTATAGTATGTGGTGGCATTCAGTGGCGGTTCTAGATCGATCGGTGTGCGTGCACAGGTACATGGGCCCGTACGCACACGCAGGGGGCCTATGCATGTGCGCTGGGTGTCGTCAAGCGGGAGTAACGTCATCAATTCCAGGAAGCCCCCTTCCTATCAACCCCCCTCTCCCCCTCTCCCCAAAGACATTAATACAACGTTTCGAGAAGTTTCCTTCTCCACCCCGCAGCCATTGAATTCCAGGTATTTTCTCGAAACATTCCTCTCTCCACTCTCGACCTTGAGGGCGATTCGTCATTTCAAGACGCAGGAAACTTCTTCCCCTAGTTGACGCAACATTTCGAGAATGTTCGAAAAGTTTCCACCGAGCTTCAACTATTCGATTCCAGGAATTTGTCGCCCGCCACTCGATTTCAGGAATTATATCGTCACCTTTAAAGCGTAGGAACCTCTGACCCTCTCTGGGAAGATTCGCGATGCAACTTGCCGGCTGGCCATCAACGGTATCAGATTTCGCATTATTAAAAACACTGGAAATATTGTCTTTCATTTAATGCCAAGAATTATGTCGGCACCTTTGAAGCTTCCTCACTAGAAAGATTCGTGGGGTAATTTATCGGTTCTGCGTCAACAGTATTGAAATTTCACCTTAGCCTAACCAGTAGACATTTTGTCAGTAACCGTTCGATTCAAACAATTTTATCGGCAGCCGCTAAATTCCGGCAATTTGACAGTAAACATTCGACTCCAAGAATTATGTCGGCATTTGTTAGGCTTACTTCTTTGGAAGATTCGTGGTACAATTTATCAGCCCTCCCTCAACACTATTGGATTTGTTACTAGTCTGAACAGTACAAATTTTCCAGCAGTCGTTCGATTCCAGAAATTTCGTCGACTATTCTACTCCATTTAGGGGAAAATTCGAGATTGTCCTTCTAGCTCCGTCTAGGGTTTAATCATGCAACCCAGAGATCGTCCCGAATGACACTTTTCGGCAGTTTCCTATCTCCTTAATCACCGATTCAAGGAAGCCCACTACCATTTTTAAAGGGCTATAGAAGGGGCGAGCTGTATTAAGATTTAGTTGATCCATCAATTGAGGACCGAACGTGACGAGGTCATAAGAAATTTAAAGAAAGTTCTTCTGC